AACTGAATAAAGAGAAAGTCTTAGAAGGGACTGAATCTAGTGTATAGCTACCAATTCCATTCCTGCTTAGAATTCTTTCTTTATTTGGAATTAAAACGCCTTAGTTGAATTACCTAATAAAGCAGTTCCTAAGGCCAGAGATGTCCTAGGAATGAACATAATGGAATGGAAGAATAACTAGCAGGTCATTGAGAGAACTCCAAAAGACCATGGTAAAGAATAAGGCCCAGATGAGACATGTCTCAGAAGAGAAATATGGATTTTTGCCATTAGGCTATGTTTTACTTTAGTTTTGGGGATTGCTATTTTGGTCACCTGAAAGTGGATTTTTCTTTCAAGGTTTTGCTTATGTTTGGTCCAGGAAAGCATGGATGTACACATTCATAATTCACCTACAACCTAGTGATGTCTCATATTTCAATAGACAATTTTTTTTCTACAAAAAGGAAACACTTAGGTATATTTTCCCCCTCTACCTTTCCATAGTTCATGGTCCAACAGTGAGAACTTTAACTTCCTAGATGCCTGGGAAACACATGGAATTTCATATAGCCCTATGTGGCTCACTATCCTATTGGTTAGGGACATGTGCATGTAAATTTTCCCTCCCCTTTGATTAATGAACCTGATTTAGTCACCTAGCTAATTTCTTACACCAACATGATGCAGATAGAACCCTGGAAAAGCATGTCTATCTAGAGCTGGATTCATGTTTTCTTTTTCCTGTTGATCTCCAACTCCACTTTATAACAATCATTCATCAGCATGGTTATGCTACTTACCACATTATCACTGGCCATCTTTACAAGGACTCCAATGCATTTCTTGCCCTCTTAGACCACAATCTCCTTTTCAGTAACATCAATTGCTTCTCCACTTTCACTGACCTGCTCTGTTCTTCACTGTGACCTTAAGTCTATTGACAACATCTACTGTCAAGAAACCATTGACCCTTTTTTTGTCATCCTGAATGCCTCTGGTAACCTGGACATCTTCTCCAGTACCTCGAATCCCCCTTCCTCTCTTTTCCTTCTGTTGTTCCCAATTTATCAACTCCCAGCCTGGATTGAGGCCACTGTCTGCTTACCTCTTATTGTGCATCCATTCTGCAGTGAATCCAAACTTCACAGAACAAATCTCCTTAATAAAAAGATTTGTTCTGTGAGACTTGGACTCAGTCAAAAGGCTATACCCAAGAACCTAGAAGGCCATATGTGGCCTCGGGGCTGCAAGTTCCCCACCCCTGTTCTAGAACAATATCAACTTGACCAACCATAGATTCATACATTCTAGCCAACAGCTCTACCATCACTTCTCCAAAACAATCCTACTGCTACACCACAATTTGTCCCTTGCCTCACATTCCCCTTTATGGCTTTTAACTACTCTTCTCAACATCCTAGTCATTTCCCCATTCTTCCACCAAATTATTTCCCACACAAATCCTTATAACTAAAAAATATCATTTCTCTGTTCATCATCACCTCAGTACTTTACCACTACTATACTAATTTGCATTGGTTAATTGTGCCAAAAGAACTTTGGCCTTTCAGTCAGAAGACCTGAATACTAGTCATAGTTACTCAAATTAATAGATGTGTAGCCTTGGATAATTCACTTAATCCCTCTAGGCTTCAGTTTCCTATATCTGTAAAATTAAGATATAACCAGAAATGTGCTGGTTTAACAACTGGCTCCCCCCACACACACACACACAAAGTATACATGGCACACTTAAAAGTTTAATCTTCATTATTAACATTTTCACCATCACTTTCTTAAGTCTAGACAATCAACAAAGCAATACATCAAGATCTAATTTATAGCATTTGCTGATTTCCATGGTGTAAATGCTCACAATGAAAATTTAACAATAGCTTCCTGTGAACCAGTTCACGTTAGCCCCAACACCCTCCTGTGACAGGACAGGCCCTGTCAACCTCAAAGGATTTTTGTGAGAATCAAGTACAAAAGTAAGTATTGAACTATGACAGTCAAAAGGCCTAGATCTGTTCTTGCCTCTCTCTCTAGCTTAGTGATCTTGAGCATATCATTAAATATCTCTAGGTCATAATTAATTCATTGATAAAACCCAGGGCATTGGGCTTAGTGACATTTGAGTCACTCTCTATCCATGTGTAAGGTAGTGTAGACTTTATCATTCTATATTGTATACAATGTATGTAATGAGTGCTATGAAAAATTTACATATCTAAGTTATTATTATGTGCAAATCACTGTACTAGGCACATGTAATTATAAATACAAAACATCAGGCAAGATAACTCAGCTATTCCCCATTCCACCTCAACAAATCCACATCTCCGCAATTATCTTCTCACCTGTCTTTGAATTGTCAGATTAGATTTCCTTGCCACCCCCCTTTTCTCTGGACCGCATCTCTTGTTGCAGTATGATCATCTTGCTCCATCTCTGGTTTTCTTTTTCACTAGCATCCTTATGTCCTTTTTCTCTCCGAGAAAAAGATGTATACATGGTCTACTTTTATATTTAATCTGTATTATTAACATTTTCTCCATTACTTTTTAAAGTCTAGATAATCAATACAACTATGAAGTGGTTCCTGGTTGTTGCATTTGTTGACTTCTGAGGTATAAATGCTCACACTGAAAATTTAACAATTGGAGCTCTTAAGTTGGTTTGACTTGGTTCCAGAAAACCTATTTAAATTTCTCCCTCTCCACTGGCCTTCAAAAATCATCATTTTTCTCTATATTAAAAAGATTATCATGTGACTCTATTCCCTCTTTTAACCACCATTTTTCTTGTACTTTTCATTGCTAACTTTCAGGAAGAAATAGTCTCTGATATCCACTACCTCAAATCATTTGACAGCAGCTTCCTCTGTAATACCCTTCAAAAATCTGGTTTTTCTTCTGATTGCCACATTGAAATTGCTTTCTCTAAGATTATCAATAATCCACAGATAGCCAAAATCAAACAGTCTTTACTTGCTTGTAGGTCTCCTTGAATTTTGGGCTGAATAATGTAGAAGTTATGGAATCCAGAGGTCATCTAGATAACTACCCTTTAAAAAAATCCCTCCCTTAAAATTCTCCTCTTTGATCTCTGTGACATTTCCCCATATTTTGTTTCTCTCACAAGCTCCTCTTTTTTCTCCCACTCATGGTTAAGGATTCTGTTATTCTGTTTCTACATATGTCTTTAGGGAGTTGATTCCAAAATCTATACCTCCAGCCTTTGTTTTGTAGCTGCCAATAAAGATCTCCACTGGGTTATTCCACAAGCACCTGCAATTTAACATGCTGAAATTCAAACTCATCTTCCTTCCCTTGACATAGGCATCCATCCCTCCTCAACTGAGCCATTTCTATCAAAAACTTCCATTCTCTTTCACTCCAAGGCTTGTGACCTTGGTTAGAGTCATTTGGATCCTTTCTTTTTCCACCACCCACATACAATCCCTGGCCAATTCTTCAATCTCAATTTTGCTCCTTCCTTTACATTTCTGCAGCCACTGCCTGGTCCATGCCTTCATCATCCCACACCTGGGTTGCTGTAATAGTCTCCTAGCTATTCTCTTTACTTTTATATTCTCTAGTTTCAAGTTCTCATCGCAGTCAACTGTATCCTCAGGCAATTTTCCTTTATATCCATTATCTGTTTCAGAGCCTTCAGTGACTTATGCTTGCCTATCATTGAACACCTGATCCTGGTCTTTAAGACTTTCTACCAATATGCCAATTTCCTTTCTCCCAATTCCTTTGAGAACTCCCTTTCCAGTCAAACTAATCTGCTTACCATCCCCACCTCATGACTTCATTTTCCCTTACACATATTTTACATGTTCCCACCTTAGTGCCTTTTCAACTGTGTTTCCCTTCCTTTGTCATCTCCCTTCTCTCTGTCTTCCCTAACCCAGCACAGAACTCACAACTCTCCCTTTGGCCAGGAAGTCTCTTTGATTAACCCCATCTAATTAATCCCATCTGCTCAGCATCCCATCAGTTCTCTACTAATACTATACTAATTTGCACTGGTTAATACATTGTTTATAAAAATGTACTTCTGTTATTTCCCATGTGAGTCTTCTGTCTCCCCAAGTAGACTGTGAAGGCTGGGGTTATATCTTCTGTATGATATCCAGAGTCTATATATGTATTTAATAAAGGTCACCTATTAACCCTACCTGAAAATAACTTTATAGACCATCCCCTCAGAAAAGCCTTGGTTCAAGAGCTCACTTTGAAGAAGTTCTACTCCCTCCCTTTTCCCAACAAAACAGTGGAATGTAAGATAGCCATTTTGCCTATCTTTGCAAAGAAAATAAACAGGGTCTTTTTTGTCTTCTTAGTGCTAACTCCTTAAAGTTAGCACAGCACCATTTTCAAAATGGGTAAAATGACTAGGAAAAAAATGGCCTTCTTTACACTCTGATGAATTTAAATGGTAAAATCTAGGGGGAGATGAGGACAAATGCTACCTCAATGTAACTATAAAATTCTTTTACCCAAGGAACTGGGACTTCTATCCAAGGGCTTCAGTGAAACCAGTTTCCTTTTAGTGTAACTGGCCAGCCTGGCAGAGAGGCCCCCTATCAGGAGGAAGGTCATGTTTTTTGAAAGTGGCCAACTGGATCCTGGAGATACTAAACCAATTGGGCATTGGCTCCTTCATTATCAGTTGCCTACTGAATTGCTCAATAAGAATAGAGTGAAATCCATGTCTGCCCATTCATAGCTGGTGAAGGGAGAGAATCTCTGACCAATAGCCTGAGCTGAGAAACTTAGGCTCTGTGGTGAGCACTTCCTCATTAGAAGGTATTTTAGCACGTATGCTTACTGGTGGCATTGGAGAGCTATGAGGATGTTATGGACAGCCCAAGGCATTCTGTTCGGTTAAAGACCCACCCTCTCCCTTCTTCTCCCTTCTTTCATCCTCCCATGCTTCCTTCCTTTCCCTACTTCCCTTCTCTTCTCTTTTCCTCCACCCCATTCTCTTCTCCCATTCACTGTCAGGAAGGGCCAAGCCGGAAGGGGCAGTTCAGCACAGCGTGGCAGCGGCAGAGGCTAGCAGCACCAGCAGCTACAACAGTGAGTTTGGATTTCACTTCCTGAGACCAGGGGTTTCTGGGCAACTTACAAACAGGCTGATGACTGCCATTGGCCTTGGGATGGACCATCCCCTGGCCCGAAAGGCTCTTCTTCCCTCTGGCATCATGTTCTCCTCCATACTACCTGCCAAAGGAAGTTCCTCCTACAGTTCTCAGCATGCTGGTGACATATGAAATCCATTCATTTTATAGAGGAGATGACCTGGGTCACGACTGCCAGCTGTGTAAGGCACACGGGTGAAATGGTTGGCAGAGATTAAATTGTTTCCTGGGACTCCATTCAGGGCTGGGTGTGTGGTAGGGGTTAAAGTGGCCTGCATGGGAGATGACTTGGCTGCTTTCTTGCATTTCAGGAGGTAGGGGCAGGACCATGCCAAGCAAGAAGGATAATCATGAATATGCTCTGGGTCTTTTGCCTTGTATAGCAAACACCTTTAAAAAACTATCATTACTCCCTACGTTGGCTGTAAGATGTAAAAGGATCTTTGTATGGATGTTGCAACAAGCTTTGGCCCAGAAGGTTGGCCCCTGTCATCAGTACTTATTGAAGAGACTGTTGTCAGAAATTCAGTCATGTCCCCAAGTCATTTCCTAAGAAACACATAGAAAAGGACCTCCCCTATTCCTTTTAAAATATATCATGGTCTATTAATAGATAGTGAACTATGGTAGACCTGAATTTGATTGTTTCCTTTCAAAAGGCACCATTTCTTTTCTCCTAATCCAATTAAACAAGCATTTATAAGTCATTTATTGTGTGATAAGTACTATGCAAGGCACTGGACATATGGAGACAAAAATAAGACAGACCCTGCCCTCAAGAAGATTTTATTCCTAACCTGCAGGGAAAATGGGGGTGGGAGTGGGGGGGTAGATTCTACAGTATATTCACTTTTCCTAAGAAATCAAACCCTATGTGTGAAAGCCAAAGTGTAGCCTGGTATGCTGGGGTGTTTTCTTCCAAGCTACCTACTAATGCAGAGAACTGAATGTGGGTGATGTGGGTGAGTTAATGTTGCTATGAGAACCTTCTTGGCTTAATTCCCTGACAATATTTCAAATATGCAGTTTGAATGCTGTGTTAATGTTGGGCTGGAGATGATTTGCGTGATCCTCCCCTCTCTTTTTCCACTTCCAGTGATTTTTTAAAACACACAGCCTTTTTTGGGGGGACAGCTTTATCAAATCCAGTTTTTTCCCAAGAGCACATTTTTAAAGGATGTATTACCCTACTAAGTGGGAAGTATGCTACTAAGAACACCTACTTCAAAGCTTTGGATTTTTAGCTAATAGATGCGTATATCCAGCATATATCAAATCAAGTGTGTGAGGCAGCCTAGTAGGAATTTTGAAAGCAGGAACATTAGGTGAACTAATTATTTTCTGCCCCAATTTTTAAGATAGCATTTGCATTTCTACTTCCATTCAGGTCAAACTCTTGGTTTCTAGTTGGGTGGTTTTCAGACAAAGTGTGAGGTTGGACAAATGAATTCTCCCCCTACCTCACCCCCAAAGAAAATAGTATAATTATTTCATACTTACATAGGTTCAAGCAGGCAGCCATAGCTGAGCCTTTTTAGAAACAGTCATAGAATCGTATGATCATAGAATTTCAGGACTGAAAATTCTTATCCTGGGGTGCAAGAACTTATTTTTTTTTAGAAGAAGAAGAAGAAGAAGAAGAAGGAGGAGGAGGAGGAGGAGGAGGAGGAGGAGGAGGAGGAGGAGGAGGAGGAGGAGGAGAAGGAGGAGGAGAAGGAGAAGGAGAAGGAGAAGAAGGAAAAGGAGGAGGAGGAGAAGAAGGAAAAGGAGGAGGAGGAGGAGGAGAAGAAGAAGAAGAAGAAGAAGAAGAAAGAAGAAGAAAGAAGAAGAAGAAGAAGAAGCAGCAACTAAATAACTGTATTTCAATATGATTTGTTTCCTTGGCAATTCTATGTATTTTTATTTCATGCACTTAAAAACACTCTTCTGAGAAGGGGTCCAGATGTTTCACCAGAGTGCCAAAATGAGGTTAAGAAACCCATTCCTGCATTTTGGACCAGTATAAATCCGGGAAACTTGGGTTTAAAAAGAGAAGTTTTCAGCAAGTTCTGACTCAGGAAAGCTTAAATGGAAAAATAAAGTCTTGCTGCAATGAAACTATAAGGGCTAAGTAGCAAGTCTACTAGGAATGTAATTTATTAGAATTGGGGAGGCCTTTGGTATAGAGCATATCTGATGGAGACTATCTTCATTGATAAAAGGAATGGTAGTCAGGGATCATAGACCCCGTGAAATATGTATATTTTAAGAAGCCTTATGGAATATATTCAAATTTCTGGGTTTCCCTGATCACCCCTCATCTAACCCCTTCTCCAACTCTGCAAACTATCTTGAATAGGGCTCTAGGCTAACATGACATTTGCTTGTAGCATACACACACATATACATGTATAGATACATAAATACACTCATACATATACATATATACATACAGACATATATAATATAGCATTTTCCCATAGGTACAAATCTCAGAAAGAGCATAGAAAGGGGAAGACAAATTTTGTTTAGTTTCTTTTAGGTACCTGCTTATTGCCTTGAGCTCCTCGATATATGCTAATTTACATGGCTGAAGCAAGAGTACATGGGCCTAGATGGTCATGGATATCTACATTCAGTAGGCATATATATATATATGTATTACATATGTATATATTACATATATATAAAATATATATATATATATATATATATATATATATATATATATATAAACATACTATAAAACTTCATGTATATTCTTTGGAGACAAAGGGATGATTTTCTGTTTATGATTGATATTCACATAGGAGGGTTTATGGGATTTGAAAGCAATTCATTATGATAGGGTGTCACCCCAGGATTATGAGAGAAGGCTTCACCTCCCTTTGTGTTGTATTAATGGTAGCTCCCATGGGTTTCATACATGTTAGAGGGATGGCACCTATACCTATGTTTATATGGTGAAAAGTGTGCATGTAGGATTCTGAGCTTGAGTTGAGGTGTCTTGACATACATTTTATATCCCAGGCCGGGTGAGAAGATGATCTGAAGTTTCACAGCTAAAATTGTGAATGGAAGATACAAACCAAGTCATCTGATTTTGAATTCTTCTATAGGGCAAGAACAACAAGATATTTCTGTCTAGGTCTCACCTAAGCATTTTGTAGCTAATCATTATTAGTAATATCTGTTGGTTAAACAATTATATGGGAATATGATTTCACTAGGTCTTATAAAAATATAAATATCCTTTAGGAAATGGAAGGAATTTATGGGCAACTCTTTTGTATATAATGAAGTGTTTTTTGGAAAGTCAATAATCATTACTAGTTTATTTCATGCCAAATCAGCTATTCATATGCCAGATTTGTACAAAGAGGGCTGTTCCTGGACTCCAAATGGATTTCTATAGTACATTTAAAGGTAATATTTTATTCATCTTTAAATGAATTAGGTAGAGGAAACTTATTGCTGGGTTACTTTTACCAAGGAGGGATACAGAGGGAAAGGAAATGATTTCCCCCCTGCCCCTTCTGTCCACCCCTACACACAGCAAGTCAATGGCAAAGTCACAATCTGTGCTTTCTAATGTCTCGCAGTGTTCCATACCCACCATTAGACAGAGCTACTTCATTAATTGCTACGTAGGGCATTATGATTTTCCTCCCCCCCAATTATCCACTCAACTGATGCTTCTCTGAGTAACTTAGGTTTACTATTCAACTCTCTTTCTAGCAAGAGGAAAGCTACTTTTTCTTCCAAGTAATTGCTGTTATTACCTATTCTGTCAACTATGTGCTATCTAAAGTCAGATATCAGGGCTACAAAAACAAGTAAATCAATATCAGAAGCAGCTGGCTAAATTCTTAACATACTGGAAAGAACTTCCTACTCTCTCTTGTTACAGAAAGCTAAGCCTCAAACATACCTGATAGGTGTAGGGGTAAGTACTGATACAAAGCCAATGTCTGTCCCATACATATAAGCATACTTGTACAGACATGTTCAAGAATATGGTTAAAGTGACCTTTATCTTTTTTTTTAATCTTCATTTTAAAAAAGTTTGAGTTTCAAATTCTTTCACTCCCTTTAGGACCTCTCCCACTTATTGAGAAGGCAGGCAATATGATATCAATTATACCTATGAAGTCATGCAAAACATATTTCTGTATTACCCATGTTGCAAAAATAAAAGTAAGAAAAATCAAGAAAGTGAAAAATAATATGCTCCAATTTGCATTCAGTTTATCAGTTAGTTTATTTTTCCTCTGGAGATGGATAGCATTTTTCATCACAAATTTCCTGGAATTGTCTTGTATCAATGTTTTGCTGACAATAGCTAAGTCATTCACAGTTGATCATCGTACAAAATTGCTGTTACACTGTACAGTGTTCTTTTGATTCTGCTCACTTCACTTTTCATCATTTCATGTAAGTCTTTCCTGGTTTTTGAAACCATCCAACTCATCATTTCTTATAGCACAATAGTATTCCATCACGATCATATTCCACAATTTGTTCAACCATTCCTCAGCTGATGGACATCAATTTCCAATTCAGTACCACCACCAAAAGAACTGCTATAATTATTTTTTGTACATATAGTTCCTTTTCCTTTTCCTTTGATCTCCTTGGAATATAGTCCTAGGAACAGTATTGCTGGCTCAAAGGGTATGTACAGTTTTATCGCTCTTTGGGCATCATTCCAAGTTGCTCTCTAAAATGTTTTGAACTGGTTTATAACTCCACCAACAGTGCATTAGTGTACCTATTCTTCTACATCTCCTCTAGCATTTGTCATTTTCCTTTTTTGTTACATTAGCCAAATTTGGTAGGTTTGAAGCACTCAGAGTTGTTTTAATTTACATTTCTCTAATTATTAATTATTTGCAATATTTTCTCATATGACTATTGATAGCTTTGATTTCTTCTTCTGAAACTGCCAGTTAATATACT